TAAGTCAATTTCATTTGTTATTTGTAAAATATTTATAAAAAAAAAAAAGAAAAAAAGAGAAAAAATGAGGCAAACCTTCTCTTCCAAGATAGCAAAGATTTGTTGGAAATGATTATCGGATAGGTGAAGCGGGAAAGTTTACCTGCGCCATTGGATAGGATAGAGCAATAGAACGTTTGGCATTCACCGCGTGCCTTAGTACTAAGCATAACAAACCAAGGTCACCGGTGAAAGCGAGACGTCCTTTGCAAGGAATGACGATGACATTCCCAATTTACCGATTAATGGAAGTATTTTCATCATCTTTTTGGCTTCATAACTTACGGGATTTATCCTGCAAAAATGATCCACAACATTACGGATATGTAATATTTTGAGCAATAGCAATTATCTATTGGGATAACAGACAAATCATTTCAAGAAGAGCCATCTCAGGTATCGCAGATATGTCCATACTACTATTGCTATAAGAAAAAAATGTCCATATAAGAGGTAAAAAAAGAAATATTGAGCAACCAAGTTGACCTTTGACCTTACTATTTTCCCTCTATTTCTCACCTATTGGTAGGAAGGGGGATTGAATAAATACATTTCAGTGGGGCATACGGATTTATGCGGAAATTATGGAAAGTCGGCCTATTTCAGTGAGTAAACCACATATACATATACACATACACGCACATACACATACACACATAGACATACACATTTGCTCTAATTTGCCCCGTCCAATACCCGGATCTGATCTATAGGGTCAAAACAACTAGGTCAAAATCAACGTATTATAATTTTGAGTATCATTTTCATGTGCCTTAAGCAATTTATCCAAAACTAACTGCTAAATTTGAATCATATGATTGATTGATTCAAATTCAATTCTTAATTTCTAAAATATTTCAAAACAAAGATATAACTAAAATAGAATATTAGTCTTCGAGACAATTTTGAAGTATTTCTTGCAGTCAGAAAGGAATAATCTAAGGTTTCATTTCCTACGAGCGTTTAAAAAAAAAAAAAAAAAAAGAAAAATATGCTAAGAGGAAAAATATAAGGCGCTATCATCGATTGTCCAAGTAATATTCTTTGCCATTTAAGTGAAACTTATACAAACTTCCTAGATAATTTCATACTTTCATCAAATGCTACTGCCAAAAATAGCAAGTTTGTATGGACTAAAATTCTTTTTTAATTTAAATATTTCCTCATTTTAACTAGTTTCTTGCTTCCCTTCTTAACTTTTTTTCAGAACAATCTTACGTTTTTATTGATGAAGCATTTCTTTCGATTCACATCATCAAATTCCGATTGGAATTTCTTGAAAAAAAAAAAACTCTCGACCCATAGCTAGGATTAGAGGTTAGAGTACCATAACCAAGCAAGCAAGACTGCAGTGCACACCAAAAAGACCAGTTACGGTCACCGTATCCAATATTCTTATTGGTCGCTTTACACTACTTTTTTTACTTCCATTCTTTTTCCATTTATCATTCAATTAACAAATTCTTGCCAAAACTTTTACGTGAAAATACTTCCACATTTTCCATGAACAGTTATGTTCAAATTTGATCTAAGATTACCTAGTTAGTGGCATCGAAGACTAGGAATAAGAAGGAAGGAAGGATGAACAGGAAAAGCCACCAGGAAATGACATTGATAAATTACTTGAGCTTGACAGATAACAACAAAATTTACATATGTATGGGACATCATCATCATGAAGGGCGCTATCAATAATAAATGGCGGAGGCAAGCGCGCGATTCTGATGACGGGGAGGGAAATGAAAATGACCAGAAGAGGAAGGAGGATTGGAGACTGTCCTCTATCATTCATTTACAAGCCGTCCTCTTCCTCCTCCTCCACCGCTTCCTCCTCCTACTCCTTCTCCCATCCCTTCCCCCCACATCATCATCAACCGCAATTCCTCGACAATTACTTTTGAATACCAACCAGTAGCAGTAAAAGCAGACGACAAGTATGAGATGAGATCCGCAAGAATTGGAAATGAAATAGGAGGAGATGGGGGAGGGGGGGAGTAGGTGGATGAGGAGAACATCAACAGAGGAAGAAAAGAGGAAAGGAGGGGACACGAATCGGTTGACAAGCAATCCTCACCTCTAACAAACCCCTTCGTTTCGATCGGAGACAGCATCAGCAACAGCAGTCACCAAGGCACCCATCAACAAATGCGACAACGCAGATGCTCCCGAATAAGGAAAATGATTATCCATGCTGCTGTTAAGGATGGAGAGGAAGGAGGTGGAGGAGGAGGAGGAAATGGAGGGTAAAGGGTGACACAAACTTCATCTTGTCCAACTACCTCCTGCTGAGTTGCTCCATCTTCTGCTTCTTCTAACTCCATCCATCCATCCATTCATCCATCCGAGACTTCAAGACCTCCCACTTTTCTGGACTTTTTAATCATTCTTCCCTCCCACCATCATCATCATCATCATCGTCTCATTCTTCTTCCATCCTTCCTGTCCTAGGCTTCCCATAATATCCCCGTGGATCAGAAAAAAAGAAGCCAAAGTTGGACAAGAAAATGAAATACACGAAATAAGAGCGTTCCTAAGCACAAATATCCAACAATTCCCGTCGAAAAAAACAATGAACATTGCTTGCATAGCTGAGCGATACATCTCATCCACGTATCTTCATATTTACACCTTCACACATACACAAATACGTGCTCAAACGCAGAATACGTTCAGATTTCCGCTTCTAACCGAGAGGGAATGGCTGGAACAAAGATCAGAAATGAGGGACAGAAGGGGAACGATACCAACCCCGGACGATCGCTTCTTTCGACGACCGAAATATTCGCCAAATTTATCCAACATATCCATTTACAAGAAATCTTCCTTTTGAAAACGAAAATGAAAGAAGGGATAACGAGATAAGGAAGAGAGAAAGAGAGAGGGAGAGGATGAGAAACGGAAGGAGAGAATTACTGTGATTTAGGGAAAAATTACCGTAATTGAGGAAAGAACTACGATAATTCTAGGGGAAGAATCGTAAGAATATGTATGATTGTTTTTGAGACGAACAAATGAAGCAAATTTATCTCAGAAATGAAAAGGAAACATTTACTGAATGATAATTGATAGTGGTTAAAGATGATAATCGAGATGGAAATTTCAAACGACAACACATTCGATGATGATGATAATAAAGGATGAAATTTAAATGAATGATAAAATTAGAATCTCGAAAATGAATAGAAATGATGGGATGATTTGTTGGCGATACTCTGATCAGTTTGTTTTGTTTGACATTTGCCCGATTAGTATCTTTAAATTTTTCGGCTTAAAACAAAACAAAACAAAAAGAATAGAATAGAGAAAAAGAAAAAAATTTCAATTCTTCAAAACTTTTCTCTTTTTTTGCTAAACTTCAATTTTATAGAAAAATGAAACAAAATAAGAAAAAGAATAATTTGTGAATGCTTTATTTGTTTTTGGGACAAAAATGTCCATCTTTTTCTGTTTTTCTTCCTTTCTTTTTCCCTCTCTCTCTCTCTCCCTCTCTCTCTCCTAATCTATTCTTTTTTTTCCCACTTTTCGTTTAACTGGTAATAAAACCTATACAATAATTCTTTAATTCTTTTAGAAGAAAAAAAAAATAACGCTAAGCAGTGAGTGATAATAGTGATGTTGATGATGATGATTATGACGATAGCTACAGTAACAGTAGTGATAATAATGATAATGATGATGATGATGACATGAGATTCATACGTATGGACCGATTGTCATGGTAATAACATAACACATCAAGTACCATCTATTTGAAATAGTTGAAAATTTGTTTTAAATATTTTAATTTGTAGGTGTAGAAGCGATGTGTGTGTGTGTGTGTTTATTGTATTTGTATTGCTAAATTTAATTCAATTAAAGAACTGATTGAAATTAATTAAAATTAAATGAAAAATATGGGGATGTATTTGCTTGAAGATATATATACATGCCTGTATGCATCGGTTTTATCGCCTACGTGCATTTAATTTAAATTTCCTTAAATCAAAAATTGCAACTTTTAACCCATTTCTTACGCATTTGATATATTTGAATTA